ATACAATCATAGTAGGGGACCTCAACACCCCATTACACCACTGGACAAAACCTCTAAAAAAAAATAAGCAAAGAAACATCAATCCTAAATGACTCACTAGATCAGATGGAATTAATTGACATCTTCAGAACATTTCACCCCAAAGCCACAGAATATACATTCTTCTCAAGTGCATATGGGTCATTTTCAAAGACAGACCATATATTAGGTCACAGGCAAAGTCTCTTCAAATTCAAGAAGACTGAAATCATATCAAGCATCTTCTCAGACCACAATGGCATAACACTGGAAATCAACTACAATAAAAACAATCCAAAAAAATCAAACACATGGAAACGAAATAGCATGCTATTAAACAATGACTGGGTTACCAGGGAGATCAAAGAAGAAATAAAAAACATCATGGTAACAAATGACAATGAAAACACAACAATCCAAAACCTTGGGACACAGCGAAAGCAGTCTTCATAGGGAAGTTCATAGCTCTACAAGCTTACTGCAAGAAACAAGAAACAATGAGAATAAATTACCTAACTCTACAACTCAAAGAGTTAGAAAGAGAGCAACAAGAAAAGCCCAGTGTAAGCAGAATGAAGGAAATAACAAATATCAGAGCGGAGATAAATGACATAGAAACCAAAAAAACCATACAAAAGATCAACAAAACCAAGAGCTGGTTCTTTGAAAGGATAAACAAGATTGATGAACCTCTAACCAGGCTCACCAAGAAACAAAGAGAGAGGACCCAAATAAACAAAATCAGAAATGAAAGAGGAGAAATATCAATAGACCCCACAGAAATACAAAGGATTGTTAGAAAATACTATGAACAACTCTACTCCAACAAACTAGACAACCTGGAGGAAATGGACATATTCCTAGAAAAATACAACATTCCAAAACTCAATCAGGAAGAATCTAAAAATCTCAATAGGCCAATAACTATGGAAGAAATTGAAGCAGTCATCAAAAAGCTTCCAGCAAACAAAAGCCCAGGACCAGACGGCTTCACAGGGGAGTTTTACCAAACATTCAAGGAAGAACTAAAACCTATCCTCCTCAGACTACTACAAAAAATTCAAGAGGAAGGAACACTTCCAAGCTCATTCTATAAAGCCAGCATCACCCTAATACCAAAACCAGGTAAAGACGACACAATGAAAGAGAATTACAGGCCAATATCGCTCATGAACACAGATGCCAAAATCCTCAACAAAATCTTAGCAAATCGGATCCAACAGTACATCAGAAAGATCATACACCATGACCAAGTAGGATTTATCCCAGGGATGCAAGGATGGTACAATATCCGCAAATCAATAAACGTGATACATCACATAAACAAACTGAAAGAAAAAAACCACATGGTCATATCAGTTGATGCAGAAAAAGCATTTGACAAAATCCAACACCCATTTTTGATAAAAACTCTCAGCAAGGTGGGAATAGAAGGATCATACCTCAACATAATAAAAGCCATATATGACAGGCCCACAGCCAACAGCATACTCAATGGACAAAAACTAACACCATTTCCCCTAAGAACAGGAACAAGACAGGGATGCCCACTCTCACCACTCCTGTTCAACATTGTGCTGGAAGTGTTAGCCATTGCAATTCGGCAAGAAGAAGAAATAAAAGGCATCCAAATTGTAAAAGAAGAAGTAAAACTGTCCTTATTTGCAGACGACATGATCATACAAAACCCTAGAGACTCCATCAAAAAACTACTAGACTTAATACATGAATTTGGCAATGTAACAGGATACAAAATTAACCCCAAGAAATCTAAGGCATTTCTGTACACCAATAGTGAACTTTCAGAAAGAGAGATTATAAAAACAATCCCATTTACCATCGTACCAAAAAAATTAAGCTACCTAGGAATAAACTTAACTAAAGAGGTAAAAGACCTCTACTCAGAAAACTACAGGACGTTGAAAAAAAGAGATAGAGGAAGACATAAACAGATGGAAGAACATACCGTGTTCATGGATTGGTAGAATCAACATCATTAAAATGTCCATACTACCCAAAGCAATCTATAAACTCAACGCACTTCCCATTAAAATACCAACGGCATACTTCACAGGTCTAGAACGTACTCTCCAAAAATTCATCTGGAATAAAAAACGACCCCGAATAGCTGCAGCGATCCTGAGAAAGAACAAAGTAGGTGGGATCTCAATACCAGATATCAAACTGTTTACAAAGCCACTGTTCTCAAACCTGCCTCGTACTGGCACAAGAACAGGCTTATAGATCAATGGAATAGAATAGAGAGTCCAGAAATCGGCCCAAACCAATATGCTCAATTAATATTTGACAAAGGAGGCAAGAACATACAATGGAGCCAAGATAGTCTCTTCAATAAATGGTGTTGGGAAAATTGGACAGATAAATGCAAGAAAATGAAACTAGACCACCAACTCACACCATACACAAAAATAAACTCAAAATGGATAAAGGACTTAAATGTATAACGGGAAACCATAAAAATTCTAGAAGAATCCAAAGGCAACAAAATCTCAGGCATATGCCGAAGAAATTTCTTCGGCGATACAGCTCCTTGGTCATTGGAAACTAAAGAGAAAATAAACAAATGGGACTACATCAAAATAAAAAGCTTCTGCACAGAAAAAGAAACCATCAACAAAACAACGAGAAAGCCCACTGCATGGGAAAACATATTTTCCAATGTCATATCTGATAAGGGCCTAATCTCCAAAATTTATAGGGAACTCATACAACTTAACAAAAGGAAGATAAACAATCCAATCAAAAAATGGGCAAAGGATCTAAATAGACACCTTTCAAAAGAGGACATTCAGAAAGCCAAGAGACATATGAAAACATGCTCAAAGTCACTAATCATCTGAGAGATGCAAATCAAAATAACAATGAGGTACCATCTCACACCTGTCAGAATGGCTATCAACAAATCAACAAACGATAAGTGCAGGAGAGGATGTGGAGAAAAAGGAACACTTGTGTACTGCTGGTGGGAATGCAGACTGGTGAAGCCACTATGGAAGACAGTATGGAGTTTCCTCAAAAAACTAAAAATGGAACTCCCATTTGACCCTGTGATCCCACTCCTAGGATTATATCCAAAGAAACCAGAAACACCAATCAGAAAGGATATATGCACCCCTATGTTCATAGCAGCACAATTCACCATAGCTAAGATCTGGAAACAGCCTAAGTGCCCATCAGTAGATGAATGGATTAGAAAACTGTGGTACATCTACATGATGGAATACTATGCTGCTGTAAAAAAGAAGGAACTCTTACCATTTGCAACAGCATGGATGGAACTGGAGAGCATTATGCTAAGTGAAATAAGCCAGTCAATGAAGGAAAAATACCACATGATCTCACTCATTCATGGATAATAGAGACCATTATAAACTTATGAACAATAATAGATACAGAGGCAGAGCTGCCTCAAACAGATTGTCAAACTGCAGCTGGAAGGCCGGGGAGGGTTGGGGGACAGGAGGGAGGGTTGTAAGAGATCAACGGAAGGACTTGTATGCATTCATATAAGCATAACCAATGGACATAAGACACTGGGGGGTAGGGGAGGCCAGGGGATTTTCAAGGGTGGGGGGGAAAAAAGGACACATATGTAATACCCTTTGTAATAATTTAAGCAATAAAACAATAAAAAAATCCAGTGAATAAAAAATCTGATGAACAGAATAAACTTATGAATAGAATAGAATCAGGGGCATAGAAAGGGAGTGGACTGACAATTCTTGGGAGGAAGAGGGTGTGGGGGGTGCACGGGGTAAGGGCAGGGGGTGGGGTGAAAACCGGGTCAAGGGGAGCTATGGGGGGAAAAAGAAACAACTGTAATAATCTGAACAATAAAGATTTATTTTTAAAAAAGAAAATAAAAATGTGTTCACTGAAGAAAAGGTTCACTGAAGAAAATTTAAAAATAAATGCTTTCCTTAGTATAATAAAAACATATGATTTAGAAGCAAATCATCTACAATTACCAAATGTCAATTTTTCTTCACTGAGAATAAACAAATCAACAATATAACAATATGACGGTACATTACCAAACAAATTCAAGCACATTATTTTTATTCGTTACCCATTACTTAATTTAAATTGTAAAATTTTCATATATACATAGTCTAATAAAAACTCATTAATCTCACCTTCTCTATGTTGAACTTTATCATAATTCAACTTTCTGGCAATAGAAAAGATGGACTCTCTCACAGAAATGAAATAGCTATAAAAAACTTAACCTCCTTTGCATTATACTCATTTTGCTAGTCTCTCCTAAAAGTCAGAAATAATAAACTGATAAAATGAGGTATGCTGCAATAATCAATTTTAAAGGTGATTTTCATTTCAAAAACTTAAAATTTAATTTCTCTTTAGTCAGGAAAGAAAAATAGTGGTACAAAGTCCAGGGAACAGAAGTGTATAGGGGAGTCATTAAGGATCTAGGAGAGGAAGCAGAACATGCTTTAAAAAATAGAAAAGGAATAAAAAAATGTGTAGGAGATGACAAATAAAAGGAATTTATTAGTCTGGGTCTGGTCATTTCATACTCTTCACAAAGCAGAGAACAATTTAAAGTCATCATGCCCCTTAACAGGCAATGATCTGTCAAGATTATAAAAGGCACTAAAAAAAGGCTTGACGTAGCTTTTAAAAATACATATAGGCAATAGTACAAATTGTGAAATGATATAAAGGAAAAACAAAAATAAATTTGACAATGTAAATTTTATAAATCTTACTAAGATGGATAAAAACTTTTAAGAGTATTGAGTGACTCATGTATTTAAACAGACTCTTTTTCCTTAACATCAAAATGAACAATGAGAATTTCAAAAAACATGAAAAATGCTTAAAGAAATGTTTATTATTATCTTTTCTCCTATTGTTTTACTTACAGGACTTCAAAGATACTGAAAATAATACATAATAAAAGATTAGTAATTTTATAGTCTTTTAAAATACTAATTTACCTGTAGACATCACTATTTTACATGACCCAGGACTGGGCTCCTTATATTCAACACCTCTGCCTCTGGTCAGCATCTTTATAGAAGTTGTAGATGTGGAACACATAACAGGAATAGATTGTTCCTGTTAAAAAATCAACAACAAAAAACGCAAGTATGCATTATTCTTTAAAAAACATTCCAAGCCAAGAAGGTCGGAAAAGCATTGACATAACTGGTCAACAAATGATCAGTTGCCAGAAGTCCTCAGGGTTGGAAACCCGTGTGTGTGTGTGTGTGTGTGTGTGTGTGTGTGTGTGTGTGTGTGTGTGTAACTACAGTACTTTCACACTATGCTCTTCAGAGGGGCCCATGATCTGGTCAAGTAGGAGAAAAAGAGACCAGGAAGCTGAGATTCCCAGTGCTACCCCTGCTCCAACTGGTCACACCTTAGCCAAAATAGTTCACTGTAAAACTTGTTTTATTTTTTGAGGTTCTCTATAAGACAAGTTTTCTCACACTGCTAAAAAAAAACTCTGTAAATATAATCCAACAATAATACATTCAATGGAGGTGAGGGACTTCAATAAGACAGACAGAGTTGTCTTTAGAAAGCAGTCACTCATCTGGTTTTAACTGTATCTAGTCTGCATTTCTCCATCTACACTAATAAAAGAGAAAAATGGTAATTGGCGTACAGCGCTACCCTTTTCATTGGCTAATCAGGGCTATATGCAAATTAACTGCCAACTAAGATGGCAGTTAACTGCCAACAAAGATGGCGGTTAATTTGCATTTGTAGGCACAATGCAGGGAGGCGAAAGGGAAAGATGGAAGAAGCCTCCTGCCACTGACCGTGATCAGAAACCCAGGGGGGAGCTAAGAGGTGGGGGGTAGGGCAAAGGTGGCCCTGGGGCCGCCTTTGCCCTGCCCCCCAGCCATGATCAGAGAATCAGGCGCCTTTGCCGCCCTGGCCAGTGATAGCAGGAAGTAGGGGTGGAGCCAGCGATGGGAGCTGGGCACGGTCGAAGCTGGCAGTCCCAGGAGCTAGGGGTCCCTTGCCTGGGCCTAAAGCAGAGCCCACGATCGCGGGGCCGCTGCAGCTGCGGGTCCCCGCTGCCCGAGCCGGACGCCTCAGCCAGAGGCGTCCTGCAGGGGCAGGGGCGGAGCCCGCGCGATCGCGGCACCCCCCGCTGCCACTGCGGGTCCCCACTGCCCGGGCTGGACACCTAGGCCAGAGGCGTTAGGCCTGGGCAGGGGCGGAGCCTGCAACCGCGGGGAGCTGGGGGTCCTCTGCCCAGGCCTAACGCCTCGGCCGGAGGCATTAGGCCTGGGTAGGGGCAGAGCGGGAGATCGTGGGGAGCTGGGAGTCCTCTGCCCAGGCCTAATGCCTTGGCCAGAGGCGTTAGGCCTGGGCAGGGGCAGAGCAGGAGATCGCGGGGAGCTGGGAGTCCCCTGCCCAGGCCTAATGCCTTGGCCAGAGGCTTAGGCCTGGGCAGGGGCGGAGCCTGAAACCGGGGGGAGCTGGGGGTCCCCTGCCCAGACATGATTCCTGGGCCAGAGGCCTCAGGCCTGGGCGGGGGCCAGAGCCAGTGATCGGGGGGAGATGGGGGTCCCCTGTCCAAGCCTGACACCTCTGGCGGAGGCGTCAGGCCTGGGCAAGGGGCCAATCAGGCGATCGGAGGATGATTGGGGTCTACACCTCTGGCTGAGGCATCAGGCCTGGGCAAGGGGCAGAGCCAGCAATCGGAGGGGTCTGGGGGTCCCCTGCCCAGGCCTGACGCCTGAGCCAGAGGCATCAGGCCTGGGCTGGGGGCAGAACCAGTGATGGGGGGAAATGAGGGTCCCCTGCCCAGGCCTGACGCCTCTGTCAGAGGCGTCAGGCCTGGGCAAGGGGCCGATCCTGCGATTGGAGTGTGATGGGGGTCAATGCCTGAGGGCTCCCAGTATGTGAGAGGGGGCAGGCTGGGCTGAGGGACACTCCCCCCACACACACACACACACCCAGTGCACGAATTTCGTGCACCGGGCCCCTAGTATTATATAAGACTAGAGGCCCAGTGTACAAGACCCCTCGGGGGATGTTGAACTGCAGGTTTCGGCCTGATCCCCACAGGCCAGGCCAAGGGACCACACTGGTGCATGACTCTGTGCACCGGGCCTCTTGTATGCATGTAAGTTCTTTGGTTAATCTCTTCCCACCCTTCCTCCTCTCCCCTTAGATTCACCAGTCTGTTCCATGTTTCCATGCCTGTGCATTGAGTATCTTCCCCCTGGTGGTCAGTGCGCATCATAGCAACCAGAGAAACGGTTGTTTAGGATAGATGGATGGATGGATGGATGGATAGATAGATAGATAGATAGATAGATAGATAGATAGATAGATAATTCTGACAACATTACAATCAGCTTGTATGTAAAATTATGCCTATCTATACTAATAAAAGGGTAATATGCTAATTAGACCAGACATCTTCTGGACATCCTTCTGGACATCCTTCCAGACAAAGCCACAGTGGCGGGGGCCGAGGCAGAGGCGGTTAGGGGCAATCAGTCTGCCAGGGGAGAGCAGTTAGGGGTGATCAGTCTGGCAGGGGAGAGCAGTTATGGGTGATCAGGCCAGCAGGAGAAACCGGTTAGGGGCAAGTAGGCAGGCAGACAGGTGAGCAGTTAGGAGCCACCAGTCCCAGATTGCGAGAGGGATGTCTGACAGCCGGTTTAGGCCTGATCCCTCAAGGGGTCTTGGACTGGAGAAGGTACAGGCTGGGCTGAGGGACCGACCCCCCTGCATGAATTTCATGCACCAGGCCTCTAGTTGTATATAAGAACCAAATGTACTCTGGGCATTATTAAACATCACTAATACTTTATTTTAGATCAACTTTTGAGGTTTCCTAGGAGCTATTTCATTGTGTCTATGTGATAATATTGTTATGCGTAATCCCTTCACCTTCTTAAGCTCTGTCTTTAAATTAGAGAGTTTAGTCCACTAATTTTAAAAATAATTTTTAATGTGTTTATGTCTGGATCTACCATTTTCTGTTTGTCTACTCTGTGTTTTGCTCCTCCATTCGTCCTTATCTTTTTTTAATTACTTAAGTGGCTTTTTAGCTATGCTTCTTTGCATTTGTATTTTTACACTATACCCTGGTGATTACAATGTCCAATCCATAAAGTTAATACTGTACTACTTAACATACAATGTTGAAGCCTTACATTGACACAAATCCATTCCCCCAACCCAAGACTTTATACTATAACTGTTTTATGCATTTTATCTATGTATGTTATAAACCCCACAAGACTATAATTATTGTTTTAAACAATTACATTATTTTAAAGATACTAAGAAGAAAAATGTCCAAAAGTAAGTCATTTGTTTATTTACCCAGAGATAAGCTTTCTTCAGCATTTCTTATAGTGCTTGACTGCCAGTGATGAATTCTCTATGCATGCTTTATCTAAAAATATAATCTTTTAGTTCCCCTTCAATCTTGAAGGGTATTTTTGCCAGATACAAAATTTTGTATAACACCCTTCCTACTCTGTGTACTCCAACCCCCCCGCCCCAGAGTCTGTCAGTTTCCATTCATTCTCCAGTGTCTTCAGGTAGCTGACTTTTCTATTATTTCCAGGTTTTAGAGTTGCTTTCTTTGAGGAAGTCAGTTGAATAGAATATAGATCTAGCATCATTAAATTGACCACACTGATTTCCCCAATCCCCCAAGTTTGAAGTATAATTTATGTACAGTAAAATTCATCTCAGACTTATTTGTAAAATATACTGAGTTTTAAATAAACTGTCTGAACATAAACACGCTCATGCAGTACTTTCAAAGTGGTTTTGGAGGTTCTTTCCCAGTTTAATTGCTCTATGCATTTATTAGCAAATATGAACGCAGCACAGTGGGGACAAAAGCTCACAAACACTCCACACAGTTTTACAAGACACACTGCAGGAAAAAAAGTAACTAAGGATCAATAGTACCCTAGGGTCTTGGTAGACTCATTCCTGAGGGAGATGGACCTCTTCATTCCTGGAGGGGGCATGACTATTGGCATCCCTCAAGCAGGGAGAAGCCCAACTGGTTATCCCATGGGTGGCCTCATACCAGGTGGAGAAGTAATAATGTATGGAGGTGGGGTTACTTGGCTCATTGATGTGGGGGGAGTCCCTGGCTGATGGGTACTGAGTTGGGGCTCCAGCAATGCTGCAAGTGGCTGCAACTGCAGCAGCTGCTACAGTGTCTCTTCCATGTGGAGTCATTACCTGCTGGAATGGTCTCCCAATCCCTTAGACAGAGTCTGGTAATCCAACAAGAACCTGAGGAATTGGAACACCAGCTGGTACTCCTCTGCTAGTGGCCCTGCCAACTCCAGCACCTCCTGCAGCTCCAACAGGGGCACTCAAACAATGCCAGTATCTTTGGAGGGACGTACCTCCACACTCATGGAAACCAAGTTCTCCCCATGCAGCACCAGACCCCAAACCTGCTTTTCTTCACATTCTGGCTGCTTCACGTTACATATGTGTAATACCCTTTGGTCTTAAGGATCCAGAAACTTTACTGTAGATATTTGATTTGGTGGAACAGCAATCATGACTGTGGGAAAGAGCAGCAAAATGCTGCAGAACATATAGAATGAATTGTATCCTTCAAGATGGCCAAATCTTCATTGGCACCTTCAAGGCTTTAGAAAAAAACACATGGACTTGATCCTCTGTGATTGTGATGAATTCAGGAACATATGTAATACCCTTTGTAATACTTTAAGCAATAAAAAAAAGACCAAAGGGTAGGCTACAGACAAAGAGGTATGATGCAGATTTTGCTACAAACAATGCAAGCTGGGGCAGAAGCTTCCAACAGTAGGTGGAGCCTGGTTTTTTGCTTGGAATCAGCTACCTGGGATGTTTCAAGACTGCTTTAACCATTTCCTGGTGTGTCAGCTAAGAATGCCTGCCTCAGTTCTGCCTCAAAGTCCACCACTGGCATTTGCTGCTGCTGAGATGGCACACTCTGTTGCTCAATAGAGGACAGCCTCTACGTTTGTCCTCTTGCGTTTGAACTGGACTTCCACCTCTGGTACATGCTGATCCGTAGTACATCTCAGTGAAAACGGGCCCTGGCCCATTCCATCCCACCACTGGCCACTCCTCAGAACACAATATCAGGTATCTGTAGTGGCTATACCGCTCTGCGCTGGACTCACAGCTGCAGTGCCAGCTAATCTCAATATGGTTTTTAAGAGGTCAAACACTATTCAAAGTTTTACTTTTACCCAAGAAAAGAAATATCAATCTCAATGGCTATGTAGGCCGTAAACAGCCGTGTGTGTGTGTGTGTGTGTGTGTGTGTGTGTGTGTGTGTGTATTCTTAGTAAACTCCTAAAGGGCTTCATCATACTCTTAGTAAATCTTAACTATATGTTATAAATAATAAGGCACTACACAGACCTATAATACAAATTAGTAGAAGGCACAACAAACCTTTTTTGGGACTTTTTTCTTTGGTGTGACATTTTTAGCAGTACTTTCTTTCTTGGGGGCTGGAGGACATCCAGGTGGTTTAACCCGTCCTGACTTCCTGGTCGGTTGTGTTGGGAGTGCTACAGCAGTTTTCTTTGAAGACTGCATTGACTGCTGGGTTGCTTTGGAAAGGGAAGACTGTCTTTTAGCTGTATTCTTTGTAATAACTGAGTGGGGAAAAACACAACACAAAAATAAAATTAAAGTAAATGACATAATAAGGTATTGTCTTTTTACTACTCAAAATAAATATAAATTAATCTTTAACAACATTCCAAAAGTTAATCATTGAATTTAAAATGAAGTTTTAGGTATTTAGGATTTCTTATTATCAGGAAATAATCTAATTCTCCAGAAAAAAGTAAAGAGGCTTTTATAAGAGCAGCCAATAACTTTAAATTTAGTGCACTGAAAATTTCTATTTACCTTTTGTCTGCTTCTCATATTTTTAGCCCTTTGCAGAGAAGAGTTCCTCCTTCATTACCATGAAATTATGCTAATAATTATGCTATATGCAGGAATCACTTTGTCCATCAATGCAGAAAAACATAAAGCAGCTACCAATAGCTCCTGCTTTATCTTTCAGAGGCCAGGGGAGTCCCCTGCACTTGATTTTTAACGGCTAAGGCATATTATCTTCTTATATGTATGTCTAATAACAAAGCTTCATATACTATAATATAGACGCCACATTAACATTGTCACTGAAGGACCACTATCAAGCCCAAGTGATTTAGATCTACTAGCCCAACCCAAACTGTTTTAATATTTCAAAGAGCCATTACCTGCCATGTTATTTTAGTCTATGTTCACAATTAAATATATATTTTTAGTATTATACCCTAATAACTTCATTACAAAAAAATGAATTTTACACGCAATAAGAAGTACTAATGTCAAACAAAAATTTTCCACAGGATGAGTTATATAAATAAAACATTTATACATCTATGCAATAATCAACTACTTTTATTTTGAGAGCTTCATTTTACAACTTGAAACAAATCTACTACTTTGCTCTTCCCATATTCAAGGCCTAAGTATACCACATCTTCCCTGCAGCCTTTTTATCTACCTTCTATCACCTACCATGTCAAAGAGATGGAAAATTCTTCTCTCAGGGGCCAGAGCAAATGGAGAACCACTTAATTGTCACCATCATTCCCCCCTAACCCCATTTAGAGTAATTCATCTACTTACAACATTCTCTTCTTCCTTCCTTACCATCATATACCTCATGCTCCACTCTGACTTCCACTTTCTTTAATAACTGCAGTAATCAAATTCACATTATTTCCTCGTACACAGTCTCCCTGTCATCATCTTCTTGAATCTAACCATCATATTTCTCACACTTCATCATCCTGACCTCATCATTGGATATTTCATCTTCTCCCTAAAATGTTTATATTTAGTAATTGCTGGAACTCTTCTATCTCTAAGATAACCAACTGTGCCCAATTTCTATATATCCAATATCCTTACTTATCATCTTTGCTTCATACCAACTGACCATGCTTTTATTCCTTTTTTTATCCTCATTGGAGAATATGTTTATTTATTTTAGACAGAGAGGAATGGGGGGGAGGGAGGGAGGGGGAGAGGGGAGAGAGAGAGAGAGAGAGAGAGAGAGAGAGAGAGAGAGAGAGAGAGAGAGAGAGATGTGAGAGAGAAACACCTATTGGTTGCCTCTTATATACACCTCGAGACTGGAGACTGAACCTGCAGCCTTTTGGCATTCAGGACAATGCTCCAACCAACTGAACCACCCAGCCAGGGACTAACCATGATTTTCATTCTCTTTGAGATATAGCCACAAGTCCTGTCAATTTCAGCCCTATCTATTAGCTTTCTCCTAGCTTTACTTTACTCCCTATCAACCTGCACCCAACTATCCACATCCACCAATACCCTCTAATTAGTATCATTTACGGTATTATCCCTTAATCTCTGACCACATCCCGCATGTCAGCTCCCACCTCTAATCACACTAGGGTTTGTTTTCTCTAGGCCTGAGCTATACAAGGGTCAGCAATCTTCTTCTGTAAAGGGCCAGATAGTAAATATTTTAGGCTATAAAGGCCATATACAGTCTCTGTTACATATTCTTTTTCATTTCTTTATTCGTTTGCTTATCTTTTTAAACCCTTAATGAATATAAAAACCATTCTTAGCTCATAGGCTACATGGGCTGGAAGTGGCCCTTGGGTTGTAATTTGCCAACTCCTGCTTTAGAACATTAGAATATCACTGATGGCTATAAAATCCACACTACTGGGGATCAAGCCTGCAACCCAGGCATGTGCCCTCACTGGGAATCGAATGGTGACCTCATGGTTCATAGGTCAATGCTCAACCATTGAGCCACACCCACTGGGCTAAATCTTTACTTCTTGACAACCTATTCATCCCCACAACCTATTCATCTGGTCCAAGTTGACTGATCAGAACATAATCACAAAAGCATCTCTGCTGTGTAAGCAGTTGACTATCAGAGACATGTACATAGTATTCCATTCATAGTAGCCGGGGCACTCTCTGCCCTGGTCAGACACTGCCCACACCTCAATCTTGCCTTGCATAGGTCTCTGCCTATCACTTTTCCTTTTATCATCACATACTCTACAATACTGCTTTTTCACCTTCTCACTTTCCTACTGTGCCCAAAACAAGCATTAAAGTCCTTTTTAAGCCCCCCTTCATTTAAAAAAGATTTGTTTTTCAAATAATCACTATAAGGAAAGGATGGAAAACACTAGAAAAGTTACAAAGAAAAACAAGGTCTCTAATTTTTAGTAGTAGCTGTACCAGTTTTTATGGAAATGAGACTTGCCTTTTCATCTTTTATTCCTCTGGGACCTTGCACCAAGTTATCTATTCTAACCTGCACAGTTCCCTGCTCATTTACTAAGCAGAGATGGTTTGGTCAATATGGTCAGAGTCCAATAGTATGAATAAGTCCAGCCTGTTACTACCTAAGCTCCTCCATCGTCCTTTCTGAGTCTCCATGATGACCTATGTAGGTTTCCCTCTCAATACCAAGAACCACAGTTTTACAGAATTAAAAATACCTCAAGCAGATAATAAAAGGTAACTCTCATACAGAAATAAATGACTCATTCACTTGAAAAATTAAAGATCTGCTTTTGGGGTCTCATAGAACATCCCAATTTGGGAAGTGGTGCATGTCTTTTCCAGCAGCTTTAAAAAGATGGTATCTGGACAACTAAACCAAAATCAAATATACTGAAAGGATCTGAAGCTTCAATGCACTCCCCTCTCCCCCTTTTCAAAACAGGGCATGGAGAGGTAAAATAAACAGATTTTTAAAAAGAGAGAGAAAAACTCTTCATACACCTTATAACACATACCTTAATTTGAATAGAATAGTCTATCTTAAGGTTATTGAAAAGTTGTAAAAATGTTACAGGAAAGAAATTCCCAAACACAATTAAAAGGTTAAAGGATAACTTTCTAACTTAAAATACAAAAGTCCAGCTAAGCTCTTTATCTCCATACCTAAATGACAGTGCCTCTTGGCATACATGCTAAATTAAAATAAGAAAATCGAATTTAGTAGAAGTTACATGGTTTTCTTATCCTGTTATATAATTATATCTCATAAGTATTCAACCCAGAAAGGAAATCAAGCTAGAAATCAGAAATCAGTTAGAATTTAGAAGGGCTTTAATTTAAGAGTGTTTTTAAAATATACTTGTTTTCTGCTTGCCAATCATAGATGCTTTGTACACTACTCCCTTCAGCTTCATGAGTATGCTTCCCATAAAGACCTTTTTTTTTTTTTTTTTTTTTTTTTTTTTTACAATTCCTCCTCATAACTGCTCACTTCAAAAAAACGAAGATTTTGGTCACAATAATATTATTAAAGAAGATGACCATTTCTAAAACCTTTAATATTTTAAGAAAAAATGTTCACATGAAAAGAAGCAACTTCAGTTGTTTCAGGTCAATTCCTATCACCTAAGCCTTTAAAATCCATTCAATTTTTAAACCACAACATTTTTTCTTATTGAATGACTTCTATAGAGTGATTTCCATAATACTATTAAAAACAATCACTGCTATACTTTCCACAAAACACATTAAATGTATTGACACAATATTTACTTGATAAAATATGGTATCCACATTACTGTATCATAAACATACTTTTACTAAGTCTCATGTATTAGCAGTGAAAATTATATTACTCAAAGCTACAGAAAAAAATTGCCAACACTTTTCATTACAAACTGTAGATTTAAATGATCAAATCTAACTTACAATCGGGTTGTTCCTTTTTTATTTAAACAATTTTTTATGGTTGAAATAATCAAACTGACTTTTACCTTGTATCATAAAACAATTTTTTAGAAGTGACTAATCAAGTAATAGTGCTAAAAATTAATAAGTGATATTTAGAATAAAACAGAGTCTTTGAGATCACAGAAATGACTGGGATGTTTAATACACAAAAGCTAACAATGCAGACAATGAATTTCTTTAACCACACTTCAATTACAATATAAAGAAACTTTGAGGGTAATCCCACCTTTGGAAATAATCCAGAGAAACAAACTGTTGCTGCACTTACCATTAAGGTGATTTAGGTTCTACTCATGGGCCTCCTCTTTTATCAGGAATAAAACTGCCCTTCTGAAGAAAGCAAGTCAACAAAGCCCATGTTGCCTGAGCAAGCCTGAATTTCTAGCAAATGGAGATGAAGTTATTTGCATTTGTTGGTTTAAGGGGGTGGGAGTGGGAGGAGGGGACTAAGAGGACTGCTAAAGTAATTCACATATTGTCTGTGGACCCTATAGGCAGTGATCATCAGTCACCTGTTCAAACTTCCTTCACCACTGCCTTCACAGAGGAACCAAAGGTGACCCTGGGTCAGAGAATTTGGAAAGAAATGAGAAGACATGCAAAATCTAACTGCAAACCCATTGCCTCTGTAGACAAAGTTATCCCCACTGGACCACATGTCCTAAAAACCAGGACATTTTAATAGTCTCAAGAGAACTTGTTAGAATATATCATAGAATAGAAACAAGAAAGAAGCTCCGGGTTCTGCTTGCAATTATTGAAATATTTAGCTGAAACGCTTAAAACAGAAAAAGGGCATTTGTTTTCTTAAGATACTTGTTTGTATCATATCTGTCTCATT